CCCCTGCTGTAGAGTACTCCAAATCTCACTGACAAAATGCTCCCAGAACTGTGCTGAAGTGTCTTCTTGCTAGATTTTACGTTTTCACCATTCTGTGGGTTCTTGTCCTCAGGAAAATGTCATCAACAAAAGCCATCTTTGTTTTTTCCCTGAAGGTAATAATGAGTTGAGTGGACACTACACAGAGGATAAGAGAGTGCAATCAAGTCAAGATTGGTTGACATGACTAAAATCAAGGATGTGGTTGACATAACTAAACAACACTTTGAAGAGTCAGTACACATTGAACTGAGAGTCTCTCTGTAGAGACATAGAGGAAAAATCTTTGTGAACAAAGCAGGTATTTACTTTCCTTGGGTGAGGCTCTGATGCAGGTGTCTGAAAGGTACATGTTGTCTTGTGGTAACAGAACTAGTTTGCATGTTATATGTTGATGGGATTATTTTTTGACATCATACTTTATTTTTTTTTTCCCAAAAATAATTTTATTAGGAAAGTTAGGACAGATCAATATACATGCAAATACAGATGACAGTCCGAACATAGTACCAATTTTTAGCATCCCGTTTCGCAGACGGGCTATGGGTTTACATTATAGTACAAATCGAGGTTAGGTAAATCTTTGTATCAAAGGTAAATATCAGGCCAGCAAATACATAGAGTGTATTAGATAATTTGTTATAGATAGATGAATTACTAACCTATCTACTTGTATGACCTTATGTTGAGGGGATGAGAAATGTTGGGAAAGAATAGTACAGGATGATGTGTTCGTTATGAGTTGTGTGCCCAGGTTACTAGCGTGTGATCCACAAGAAAGTAGACACACCTGTACAAAAGATTAAGTGATATGTTCTGTTGGTGAAAAATGATTGATGTAAACGTATAAAAGGTGTGAGATGAAACAAAATCAGAGAGGTGAATAGATAAAGAAGGAAATGTAGAGTGAAGTAGTAGGGGGGGGGGGGGGGATATGGGGAAGAGAAGAAGAGAGGAAAAAAAACCCTCAAAGGTGGGGGGAGGGGGAGGGAGAATGGGTAAGGCGTAGAGAGGGTAATAGAATGGGTAGCTGTAGGTGAAATAAATCACAACATTTTGTACGAGTCAGAAAGATAGCCATATAGCTTAATATTCAACACGTGCATGAGCATTCAATGGGGCGACATCATAATTTATTAGTTCCCTCCTATACACTAAAGCTGGCCATGCACATATTGAAATTCAGCTAGTTCAGCAAGAACTGGACGAATTTCAATCCATATATGGCTGTTCTCACTCATGAAACGAGTACAAGAGATTGTACGATGACGGCCGAGTGGGAACCCTATTATCCTGGGAGGACTTCATATGACGTTCTCCCAGGATTGCACGTGCCCCATGAGCCACGCTCCCATGTGATCTGTCACCAGCTGTGTTCATGGGACATGGCCGATGACAGATCACTACACTACACCCGCTGCCAGTGTCATGTGATTGCTGTGACCAATCACAGTAGATCACATGACAATTGTAAACAATGAATGGCTTCCTTTCATGCCATTCACTGCTTACAACTGTGCTGCGAGCTGTGATTGGTCACAGTGATCACATGTACAGACTGGGACAATCACAGCCCATCTGTAGCATGTGATCAGCTATGGCCAATCACAGCTGATCACAACAAAAATAAATAAAAAAATAAAAATAATGTAATAAAAATTAAAAAAAAAACTGTTGCCAGTCAGTGTCCCTGATAACTGCCATGCCAGTTATAGGATGATGCTGTACTGGACTGGTGACAGTATGTAACAAAAAACAAAACATATATATAATTTTTAATTTCTTCAAATTCCACAAAATTATGACAAAAAATTACAACATCAGGAAACTCACCATGTCTCTTACTAAATACCTCAGACTGTCTACCTTCCAAAAAACAGTAATTTTGGGGTATTTGTACTTTCATGGCATTTTCGGGCCTCAAGAAATGAGATCAGTACATTGGGATTTATCAATTTTTAGATATATACCATAGTTTGTGGAGTCTATAACTTTCCTAACAACTAAATAATAAACACTGATTTGGGTTATTTTCACCAAAGACATGTAGCAGAATACATTTTGTCCTAAATTTATGTAGAAAGATTATTTATTTGCAAAATATTATAACAGAAACAAAGAAAAAAGCTTTTTTTTTTTTTTTTAATTTTTGGTCTTTTTACGATTATAGCTCAAAAAATAAAAACCCAGTGGTGATTAAATACCAACAAAAGAAATCTCTATTTGTGTGAAAAAAATTATAACAATTTCACATGCATACCGCGGAATTGTCATTTAAAGTGCAACAGTGCTGAAAGGTGAAAATTGTCCTAGGAAGAAAGGGGATAACAGTGCCCGGAAAAATCAAAACCTTTGTGATCAGACAAGTATTGGACGTTTTGGAATGCACTGGTTTTATAAATACACTATTATTTAAACATACATGGAAACTTCATTTGACCATTTGCTTTTTAAAAACACCATGGTTATATTATAATAAACAAAGAAATAAACAAAAATGTGAAAATACGCCAGTTTCGTTTATTTAACCACTTGCCGCCCTGCCACTGTACATATACGGCGGCAGGGCGGCACTCACAGGCAAAACCACATTTTAAAACGTGTGTTTTGTAAACAAATAGGGGGTGCGCTGCCACCCTATTTGTCCCGCGGATCACCACCGCAGATGTCAGTCGCCAGGTCACAGCCACTCCTTAGCGGCTATGTCCCGGCGATCGGCGGCAAACAGTGACAGAGAGCACAGCTGCAGTAGCTGTGCTGTCTGTCACTTCCCTGTCAGCTCGAGGATGAGCTGATCGAGAAAGAACAGTTTCTCTTTCTCAATCAGCCTTGTCCCGTCCAGTATACACCCCCCCGCCCCCTAGTAAAACACTCCCCTCACTCCTATAACCCTCCCTGCTAAATAAAGTTAACCCCTTCCTCCCCATTGCCATTAGTACAGTGTCAGTTTTTTTTTTTTGCACTGATCACTGTATTAGTGTTTTTGGGGATGTCAGTGACCCAAGTCAGTACCCCCCAATGTCACAATGTCCGCCGCAGTCCCGCAGTCCTGCCATAAGTCGCTGGTTGCTGCCATAAGTCCCTGATCGCCGCCATAATTCGCTGATCGCCGCCATTATTAGTATAAAAAAAAAAAACTAAAAACCCCAGTATATCTTTCCCGCCATTTGTAAACGCTATAACTTTCACGTAAACCAATTAATTTACACGTATTGGGTTTTTTTTTTTAGCAAAGACATGTCGCAGAATGCATTTTGGCAGTAATTTATGACTAAATTTGATTTTTGCATTTTTTTTTTTACTGGACATGTTTTATAGCAAAAAGTCCAAAATACTGTTTTTTTTCCTCAAAATTGTCAGGCTTTTTTTTTTATAGCGCAAAAAATAAAAACCGCACAGGCGATCAAATACCACCGAAAGAAAGCTCAATTTGTGGGGAAAAAAAGGATGTAAATTTCATTTATGTACCATATTGCATGACCGCGCAATTGTCCGTTAAACTAGCACAGCGCTGTATAGCAGAAAAATGGCGTAAATTGCAGTATTTATACCATAGTTTGTAGACGATATAACTTTCACACAAATCAATCAATATACACTTATTGGGATTTTTTTTACCAAAAACATGTAGCAGAATACATTTTGGCCTAAATTTTTAACCAACTTTGAGTTTACTATATTATTTTTATAGCTGAAAATAAAAAATATTGTTTTTCTTCAAAATTTTTGGCATTTTTTTGTTTATAGCGTGAAAAATAAAAAGCGCACAGGTGATCAAATTACACCGAAAGAAAGCTCTATTTGTGTGAAAAAATGGACGTAAATTTCGTTTGGGTGCAGCATTGCATGACCGCGCAATTATCAGTTGAATTAGTGGAGCGCCGAGTAGCAAAAAGAGGCCTGGTCATTAAGGGGGGTAAATCCTCTGGAGCTCAAGTGGTTAATGCATAACTTTTTTTATAATTAATATTATCTGAAATATTCTCATTAAATTATTTTCACCTATTTATTCTCAGTACAGGGATCAAATTTGGTTTTGTAACGAACATCAGCACTGTATGATTGATAAGCAGGTGATTATATATATCTTAGTTTTAGGATATTACCATTTCCATTACTGTATAAACATATATGTATAGCTCTGTGTCTTTGATGCATATTATTACTCGGCATAAGGATTCTTTATCTGGATCTAATTTTCAACAATTTTGAATTTTATTGGACTTACACATGGTTTTGGGACTTTTCTATATAGTATACCATTTATTGATATCATTTAGATAATGTGAAGGAGGGTTCCATCACCATTCATCTGTCTGGAATGTGTCCACTTGCAAGTATAAGTGCACCGCCAAGTGAGATCCCCACAAATTACAATGGCCTCCTACCAGAGTTATAGTTTATAGGTGGTCTACAATGAGCATATACTGTATATCAGCAGTCAACCATCACAGTTTTCTCTGATCACATGGAAAGCTTCAGCAGTATATACCCAGAGGCACTTTTGGAGTCTCACAAATACACCACCAATGGTCATGTAGTGCACCTCCACTCCGTTCAGTATGTTTGTAGCATGTAAAAGACAAATGGGCATACCATAGTGGAAAACTGCCTTTCTATTCAGGCAAGTTTATGATAAAATACTCACATAGGTATAAATGCAAAAGCATGGAAAACCCCACCATCATCAGCTAATGACATCAGTGCAAGCTCCACCCCAAACATGTTTCAACCAATAGGCTATCACAGGGCTTAAAATTTCAAGTCCTGAGCTACTAGCCAGGCCTTTAGAGTTGCTCGCCACCAACAAACACACACAAACAGAGACACCTGTACACACACACAGACATGTACATACACACACACACACACAGAAACATGTACACACACGCACAGAGACACATGTACACACACACACACATACAGACACATGTATACACACACAGGCATGTACAGACACGCATACACACAGATACGTGTACATACACATACACAGAAATACACACGCACAGACACATGTACATACACACAAACACATGTACAAATACACACATGTACATGCGCAGACATGCATACACACACACACGCTGTTAAGTGCTCTCTCCTCTCCCCTGAAGCCACCACTGGCTGATATAGAGGATCATATGACCAGAATGAGTTGAAATTAGGAACACACTCACACACACCCCCCCCATAAAAAGTTGCAGTACTTTGTTGTTCACTCACAGAGCTGGGTACTGCACTCTAGGGGGAGGCAGAGAGGACAGCACACACTCCTTCCTTTGCTTTCACTGCGCTCAGCTATTGAGAAGTCTGACGGCTCCCAGTGCCAATGACAGATCTGGCCTGAGCTCCGAGCCTGCTCAGCAAGAGCCCTGGGGGAAACACTCGCCGCCACCATAATTTCCACTCGCCATTGGAGAGCAAGCGAGTGGACATTTCAAGGCCTGGGCTATCATCAAGATGTCAAGGGGTGAACCCTTTGATAAGGGCCTATTGAAATGTTTTGGGGTCAGAGCTTGTGCTGATCTTCTCCCCCTGCTAGCTGTCAAAATTAAATAAAAATGGCCATGCAGGGCACCACCTGCCTGGCTCTGTCACTCATTCACAGTTCTTTGTGAATGAGAAAACTACATGTCCTGACAGCCTTAGCGGCTGTCGGCTTGTAGTTCTCAATGAACTACCATGGTGCTGTGAGCGTTGTGGTAGTTAACTGATTCTTCCTGTCAGAGTGTATCATACTGAAGGAAGACCGAGGGCTGGGCCCACAGATTCAGAGGGTACACGATGCCACACAGACACAGACAACGGTTCTTTTAAAACAATTACGTTTACTGAACAGTTATAGTGATCATGTAGTTGAGCATACGTAAACAGAATGATAACAGTGCATAATCATACAGTAAGAATAATACTGTCTAACACTAACCCCGTACTTGCGGACTTTTCCCCAATGTCCAGAAAGCAGCCTGGCTGCGCCTGAATGTTCCTGAGCAAGATATAACATTGGGGTGCACCCTAAGTATTGCGCAATACTATTTGTAATCCAAAGGAAAGTGGAGTGTGTCTCTTGTAACTTTCTGGTATATCCAAAATGTCACTGACCACGTGTGGTGCGATGTGCTGCGGCAAAGCCGCACTTACAGTTCCCTGGCAGGCTCTTGGTGCTTTCTCCTGACCCACTCCGGAACCGGACCGTACAGTCACTTGTTTCCTGGTCTCGTTGTGAATCTTCCTTAGGTGCCCTCACCAGATTCCACTGTGAGCCGTAAATCCTCTTCCAGGCCCCACGCAGATTCTCCAGATGTCCTCAGCATCCAACAGCCAGACCCAGACTTCACTTCCTCCTCAGCACAGGAACTCCTCCCCTTCCCATAGAGTTTGTGATGCAGTAAGTCATTTCTTAATTGAAGCCTCAAACCTGCATTTACAGTTCACTATGACCCTTCTGAGGGTCCTACTCGGCCCCTAAATTAGTATTCATTAAGCTTTATAGGGTAAATAAGCATTTATCTTGTCTTAGCAAAAGTCACTACAAAATTGATTCTTGTACTTTGCTGCCATCTACTGACCAAAGAGCATATTACAGGCACAATATAGTTTAACATTAGATGTCAGTATTTATCCATGCATCACACCCTTACAATACAGTGCTCCTACAGGATGTACGGGCAAGCAGATATACTGACAGGTCTGCAGAAGACCTGCATGGCATCAGTGATCTTCTGATTGCTGGTGCAATGCTTTACAGGCTCCTCTAACAAAAAAAAAAATAAATGCTCAGTTTTTATCTGTAAAAAAATGTGCATTTATTATTTGTCAAAAGGTGACCTTATCCTTTATTGAATTTGCAAATATAATTGTAGTTCTTTTAAAATCTGAAGCACACATTACATAATACCTGGAGTTTCAATATAGTCAGGGCACTAGCTGCAGGGGGAAAACCTACAGCTGTAGGCTGTCTGCCCATCCACAACTCAAGAGAAATAGCAGGCAGAAGTGAATATATAGGGGTGAATATATGGCCAGTGGGATAGTTAGGAAGCTGAAAAAATTAAATGTAGTATACTACTGCCATAGGCTGCCTGCCCTTCCTCGAATAAGGACCACCGGGAAAAGAAAATGACAGGTGAGCTTAAAAGGAGAGTTAAAGGTGCTGCCACAATGAGATAACTGAGCATTACTACTGTTATATTTTCCTCCTCCACCAGTATTCGGTGGCCACTCTATTAGATCCCTAATACGAGGGTTAAATACTACTGCCAACATCCTATAATGCGTTACTTTAAGGAGGTGCTGCGTAAAAAGCTCTTTTTTTCCTGATAATACCAGGATTCCCTCTTATGACCAACATTCTTCCAATTCTCTGATCCCAGAAAGGTTTTTTAAAAGTTCAATGAGTTTTAAAATAAAAGATAGCAGCAATGCTCAGATGAAGTCAGCACTCGCAGCTGCTGAGCCACACAATTGCTTGTTATACTGGTTCCAGGGCTGATGTACATAATCTTAGAACTAAGGCACCAATGGGCTTTTGGGTGTCGGGGCTGGACCGTTGGCCAGAGCTTGCCATGGATGCACTGGAGATTCTGCCTTGTACTGCAGTCAGTGCGTTGTCTAGGAGGACCCATCTGAAACTGCAACAAAAAAGCTAAACTACAGTTGCAAGAAAAAGTATGTGAACCCCTTGGGATTACGTGGAGTTTTGCATGAATTGGGCATAAAATGTGCTCTGAACGTCATCTAAGTCACAACAATAGAAGAACACAGTCTGCTGAACATAATACTACACAAACATTAGATGTTGCCATGGTTTAATTGCACATAACATGTAAACATTCACAGTGCAGAGAGGAAAAAGTATGTGAGGCCCTAGCTTAATGACTTCTCCCAGAGCTAATTGGAGCCAGGAGTGAGCCAACCTTGACTAAAAATAGTGTGATGATATTGGATGTGTTGCTGACAGCTGTCCTGCCCTTAAAAAACACACACCTGTTTTGGGTTTACTGGTTTCAAGAAGCACTGTCTGATGTGAACCATGCCTCACAGAAATAAGCTCTCAGAAGACCTACGATCAAGAATTGTTGACTTGCAAGAAGCTGGAAAGGGTTACAAAAGTATCTCCAAAAGCCTTGATGTTCATGTGTCCACGGTAAGACAGACTGTCTACAAATGGAGAAAGTTTAGCACTGTTGCTACTCTCCCTAGGCGTGGTCGTCCTGTAAAAATGACTGCAAGAGCACAGTGCAGAATGCTGCATGAGGTAAAGAAGAATCCCAGAGTGTCAGCTAAAGACCTACAGAAATCTCTGGCACATGCTAACATTTTTGTTTACACATCTACAATAAGGAAAACACTAAACAAGAATGGAGTACATGGGAGGACACCACGGAGGAAGCCATTGCTGTCCAAAAAGAATATTGCAGCACGTTTGAAGTTTGCAAAAGAGCACCTGGATGTTCCACAGCACTACTGGCAAAATATACTGTGGACAGATGAAACCGAGATTGAGTTGTTTGGGAAGAACACACAACACTATGTGTGAAGAAAAAAAGACACAGCACACCAACATCAAAACCTCATCCCCACTGTAAAACACGGTGGGAGGAGCATCATGGTTTGGGGCTGCTTTGCTGCCTCAGGGCCTGGACGAATTGTTGTCATTGATGGGAAAATGAATTCCAGAGTTTATCAAGACATTTTGCAGGAAAACGTACGACCATCTGTCTGCCAACTGAAGCTCTGCAGAGGATGGGTGATGCAACAGGACAATGACCCAAAGCATACAAGTAATTCAACAAAACAATGGCTGCAGCAGCACAGAATACGCCTTCTGGAGTGGCCCAGTCAGAGTCCTGACCTCAACCCGATTGAAATGCTGTGGCATGACCTTAAGAGAGCGATTCACACCAGACATCCCAAGAATATTGCTACACTGAAACAGTTTTGTGAAGAGGAGTGGTCCAAAATTACTCCAGATCGTTGTGCAGGTCTGATCTGCAACTACAGGAAACGTTTGGTTGAGGTTATTGCTGCCAAAGGAGGGTCAACCAGTTATTAAATCCAAAGGTTCACATACTTTTTCCTCCCTGCACTGTGAATGTTTACATGTTATCTGCAATTAAACCATGGCAACATCTAATGTTTGTGTAGTATTATGTTCAGCAGACTGTGTTCTTCTATTGTTGTGACTTAGATGACATTCAGAGCACATTTTATGCCCAATTCATGCAAAATTCCACGTAATCCCAAGGGGTTCACATACTTTTTCTTGCAACTGTATATTCACCCTCAAGTACAGTGAGCCTCATTTTGTCCAAGCTTTAGATGAAAGTTCCTGGCCTTGCAGAATGGCGTATTCCCAGCCACTTGTTTTTATTTTTTATATTTTTATTATATTTATTATTTTTGGTTTTTTTTATATTCTTTGATATTCATGCTGTGGTCAGACAGCACACAGCTGAGGCCAGACAGGTCAAATTTTTTAAGATACACAGCATTATGCAACCCATCACAGGGTTTACATCTACTTTACCAAACCTGCCCTAAATGCCCTACACTGATCTCTCCCTTTGCACTTGATCAGCAGCGTTCCTAATGCTTTCCCTGTTATAGCTAAAGCACATTGTCTGTATGGCTACTGTGATCTCACTCTTTTTATTTTATTATTTATTACAGGTACTTATATAGTGCCATCAGTTTACCCAGGGGCACGTTTATCTAAAGCCCCCTTATTGGCCCTCCTAACCAGCTGACCTAAGTTCAAAGGTCAAGTGGTAAATTATGGTTACAAAGAATTTGGTTTGGTGAATTCAGACATTATTTTATGAGACCTTGAACACATAGGATTAGTTGCAATACCCAATGGTGGTGGTGAACCCAAAACTAATACTTGGTGACAACATTCTGTCCCTATCCTTCAATTACTCTCTTGTGTGGTCACCCTGTCACGTGTGCTTCTAATGGAGACTATACGTCACTGTGCAGATATTGCTGCTACTTGCATTGCTACCATTAGTAAGCTCACTTTGAAAAATGCCATGGAGCCAACACTGGAGCACATGCATGTAGACAGACACTGGCTGCAATAATGCTGGAGGAGATCAACAGCACTATGCACAAAGAACAAAACATGACAATTGCTTATGATATAGAATGCTTTAGCAAACGAAAGAGTTTACATCTATTTAAATTGGGCACTGAAGTCCTGGATATTTCTCCCATACCCATTTGTACCCATACAGACACCCTTCATATGTTGTGAAAGTTTATTTAAATGCGCATCAAAGGGATAGTGTGTTTTGCAGGGATTTTGAAACACATGTCCAAAACATACCTTTCGGGACATTAGAGTAATTCCAC